ACTGAGGCCTACATTATTCATTAAACTTCTAGTGGTGTACTGCTGATTACGATTTGGGTTCCATTTTCATAAAATAAGTTGCTGGATAATTAGACTTGGTTGACATGATATTCTGATCCTAAGGTTGAGCCCTCTTTCAAGTTATAGCATTTGCTTCAAACTTCTATATCAAATGAATGAACTTAACTATCTTTGTGCTCTAATGTCCTGGTCATAGAATCATGACTTCGTCGTATTTGCATTTCAGGATATTATATATATATGCCTTTGAAATTCATGGCTTAGGATCTATGGAGTTCACCATATGACTCTTGGGACCCACGGGATTCACCAGATCATCAAGGTTTCCCTAACTTCTCTTGCACCATGCTGGCTAGTTTTCATATTGAAGAAATACATTGTTGTAGATCTTATCTTAGGTACATGTGGCTGTAGAGTTTGTACTAATGTTAGCTGAACTGAATGCTTGCTTATCAGTTGCACCTGGGAGCACTTATCGTGCAGAATCTGGATGGGAGTGCGACTTCTACTTTGTTTGTGGTTGTGGTATAATATTTCTTTCTATTTCATTGGTCTTTTCTTATGGTTATAGATCTGATAGAAGAAGATGCAATAAATGAGAAATGTTGCATACAAGTGTTGGCTGCTGCTTAAAAGTATTGTTTATTATTGTTCATATGGTCTCCATGTCATATCTAATTCAGTCCATCACGTAATTGCAAATTCGGTTAAAACATCTGGGACTCTAAGAAGGAAGTCATGTAAAAGTTTGAGTTTGGGTTTTTTTAATACTTAAGTTTGGGTTTTTTTAAAAGTCTGAGTTGGGCTTGTTTTGGGTCTTTTTGTGATTTTTGTATTGGGCTTCTTTTAAGTTAGTTAGTCGAAGTCATGTAATTTATAAGAAATTCAACACATATTTTGTATGTAGTAAATGATTTTTGGGTATGTTTCTAAAGTGCATTTCATGTAGGGGTTTTGTTTATAATTTCACCCCCTATTTTGGGTATATTACTAAAGCTCCCTTAAATTTATTGTTGTAGTTAGGATTGGGTTTTTATTATTTTTTGAAAACTTTGCGCAACGAATATCAATATTTCGTCGCCTAACCCTGATTTACTTATTTTTATATTTTATATTGCTAAACTAAATTATTTCTTTATTTTTTTATTATTTTCAATCGTAAAATAAAATTATTTTAGTTTTTATTATTCATAACAATTATTTTTCTAAATATTGCGCTACAAACCAATTTTTCGTTTCTCAAAACTTTGCGCGACCAACAATTCGTCGCGCAAAACTCTAAAAATTTGGGCAGGTACAAAAATGGGACACGGGAATTTTTTAGTCGCGCAAATCGCTAAAAATTTGGGCGGGTACCAAAAACGGGACGCGGGAATTTTTTGGTCGCAACAATTCGTCGCGCAAAACTCTAAAAATTTGGGCAGGCACCAAAAATGGGAATTTGTAAATTTTTTTTTTAAAGACTTTGCGTGACCAAGACAATATTTTGTCGCGGAAAACTTTAAGGGACCAAGAGTCAAGGGTTTGTCGTGCAAAACTCTAAAAATTTGGGCGGGCACCAAAAATGGGACGCATGAATTTTTTATATTTATTTATTTTAAGACTTTGCGCGACCAATATAATATTTCGTTTCGCAAAGTGATATGGTTTTTAAAACCAAAATAACTCCTCCACCATTTTCTCAACGTCTTTCTCTACTCTTACCTCTCCTCTCTCTTTCCTTCTCCCCAAATCCGACCCTTTCTCTCACACTCACTCATCTCACTTAATCTCTTATCTCTCTCTTCATTATCTCTCACTCTCACTCACTCTCTGTTTGTGCCTAATAAATCTCGGCCTAGATAAAGCTGACCGAAGGAACTTCCTCTCGGCCCTAGCGCCTGGCCGTAAGCCGAACGTGGCAAGTCGTCGTTTGCTTTCTTTCGTGGAACAAAGGCAAGCTGTGAAGGCAAAGCCATCACGGCCTCGGTAAGCTCGGACGAAGGGAGTGATAAATCCTCATATACACAGCCAAAAAGGGAAAGTCAAGTGGCGTCAAGGTCCCGCGCTTTATTTAATGAAGTAACGCCCCTGACTACAGCAGAGGGCCCACGATCCACATAAGAGCATTTAATATGCAAGGAATGAGGGGAAGTGATTGAAGTTAAGGTATGGCCCAAGACGCAGAGCCCACCATCAGGGCGGCGGCCGGGATTTATGGGGGTCACACCACCATACTTCACGTCCCCAAACGTCAGTTTGACTACCCACTATCTCTGATCAGCCTCATCATGCAGATTTTCAGCCTGATTGTCTTCTCAGCACCTACCCTATAAATACCGGGCTCCAACTACGTTTAAAGGGTTCAAACACCAAACACAAGCCTCCCACGGAGAAGACTATATTTTCCTATCTTTTATCTTTTGTCATTTATCTTCTTGTAATGCATTTTCAATACTTTTATTAGCTTTCTTAGGAGTAGTGACAGTTTGTAGGAAAATCCATTCATCAATATATCATACGACCCTAGGTTTTCAAGGCGCCGGAGCACCATCCTTGTTATCTTTCCGTTCATCTCATATATCATACGGCCGTCGCAATCCAGCGAGGCGCCGGAGCACCACCTAAAAATCCCCCACTAGCAACCACCATTAACGGCCTTGTAGCTCAGGCTGAGATCAATTCCTCTCTCGGCCATAATCGCTCTAATTAGAAGTTAAACTCAAACAAGCGCGCAACTCATCTTCCCATTCACCCCATCATCCTTGATTGCACGGTAGACCGTGCTGGCACGACCGCGCACAAACGTACCGCACCAAAGAAGGACGACCCGTGTTGACGCAGATCCCCTCGGCCCGGAGCACAAGGCCATGAGATTCGCGGTGGTCAACACTTTTGGCACGCCCAGTGGGATCACTTGTCAAAACCTTATGGTGGAAAGTAGGTCACAAGCGAAGCTCAAGAACAAGAGAATCGAAATGACTTCTGAGACT